GGGGCCTCGGCAGGGTGTTGGAGGTCCTGCCCAGTGAAGGTGGCCTCTCCCCGACTCCTCAGAGGCCCTGCTGACCGCAGAGGCTTTCCTAGGACAGACAAGTCCAGCTCTGGTGGAAAAACGCACTTGGCAATGGTAGGGGGGCGGTCTGGGACCCCCAGGTATTAAATGAGCACCTGTGTCCAAAGGAGCCCAGCCTCCCAGCCAGACACGGAGGCAGATGTGCCCATCAGAGCCTTCGGGAGGAACGTGGGCAGGGCAGCAAGTCCTGGTGCTTTAGGAAGGACAGCAGCTCCCTAATGGGTCCTAACGACCACCTCCTGATGAGCGGCATTTGAAATGTGTGGCATTTCTGCTTCTGTATTAAGTATTGTAAAGTGCTGTTTGTTAGCTTTAAAAGAAGCAGCAGAAGAAAAAAACCCGTCAAAATCCCAGCTTCCCTATGGAGCTCTGATTTGTTTCATCTTTAAAGAGCCCTGTCACACTGCATGCCCGGTGCGTCATTAGTGAACAGCCGGTTACTTCTAGAACACTCGGTCGTGATGGTTTTGAAATCTGACTAGAGAGCCGGGGAGCCCAGCAAGTGTTAAAAGACTTCTGTTTCTCACTGAAAAGAATTCTGGTCTCTTTAGATCAAAATGTAAACCTTTTATTATAAAAACTTAAGCACCACCCCATCCACCCTTCAGGGGTCCATAAGTAAAATTACCTTTTCAGTAATCTTCTGCTTTTGGAGCTCAGTGCAAGACAACCCATTTTCAATACTGATTTTGAATCTGCACTGCAGATTCACTTGTGTGTGGAGCCAATAGCCTGAGCTGGACCCTGGGGGAGATGCCGGGGTACGGAGGGGAGTAAGACCCCCGAAACTGCCTGGGGGCTCACATGCAGACAAAAGGGAGAACACACGTGGCAGGACACCTGGGAAGTGAGGCAGAGGGAGCGCTGTGTGTCATGTTGGTGAAACTCCGCCGCAGGGATTGGCAAACTTGTCCTGTGAAGAGCCAGAGAGTTAATCCTTCAGGCCTTCGGGCAGGTGGTCTCTGCTGCAACCACACGGCTCTGCTGTGGGAGCATGGAAATAGCCATTGGCGGTACACAAACCGAGTGTGGCCATGTTCCAATAAAACTTTATTTATTTTTTTTTATTTTTTATTTTTTATTTTTTTGCCATTTAACTTGTTTTAATGTTTCTTCACAAATGGTGAAAAATACTAAAGTACAGACAAGGAATAATCATAATGTTGTGGCCAACATTATAAATATGGAATTATAAATTTAAAACATTTTCTGGTTTAAAAAATAAATCTGGTAGTCAATGCAGCTCTGCGGGGTCTCTGCGTCTAGTAGGGCCGGTCTCTGCGTTCCTGACGGTGCTCGCCTTTATCCATTTTTCCAGGTCCTCCACGCCCGCCTCTTCTTCCTCCCATCTGTTCCATCAAAGGTCCAGGGGGCCCACCAGGGCCGCCCCGTCTTCCTCCACCAAAGCCACCTCGGTCCATGCCCCGGCCACCACGGAAGCCCCCTCTGTCTCCACCACGGCCACCTCTGCACATCCCACCGGGACCACCGCGGTCCATGAGGCCGCCTCTTCCGCCCCGCATGCCACCAGGGCCGCCTCTGCCACGGTCACCACCCGGGGGTGGAAAGGGTGGTGGAAGGAAGCCTTCGGGCTTCGGGGCCTTACACTGGTTGCACTCTGTTCTCCAGGCGAAGTTCTGGTTTCCACACCCCGGATTGGGGCACTGCCAGTCTCCAGCTCGGTGCTGGACATTTCCTCCTCCGGATGGGTTCCCTCGGGAACCCCGAGGCCCTCTTGGGGGAAAGCCACCTCTGTCTCCTCCACGGCCTCCCATACGGCCCATGGGGCCCCCAGGACCTCCTGGGCCCCCTGGACCTCCACGAAGTGGCGGCGGCATCCCTCTGCCCTCACGGGGAGGCATACCACCCCGCATGCTGTTCATCGGAGGCTTCTTCCGAGCAAGAGAAACCTTAAGTTTGCTCCCTTGAAAATCTTTCCCATCAAACCACTCCACAGCAGCCTTGGCAGTTGGTGGGTCTTCATAGGACACTGTAGCATCACCTTTGGGCTTTCCTGTTTCCTTGTCCAAGTAGATATGGATCATGGGTTGTCCGGTTCTCTTGGTCATCTTAACAACTCCACACTGCTTAAAGAAGTCTGCCAGATCATCTAGAGTCACATTGTCATTTAAGCCTTGCACATAAATTGCACTGTTGTCAGAGTCTTCATCTGGATCTACAGGTGGGCCTAGATCAAGATCTGGTCCTTCGTCCATGGGTCCACCAGGCTTATTGAAGCCACCTCGCTCTCCAGCGCTGCCCATTCCACCGCGTCCTCCTCCCCGCCCACCTCTGCTCATGCCTCCACGATCAAATCCCCCTCTTCCCCTGCCCCGGTTATCAGGGCCACTCATGCTCCGGTTCTCTCCTGGTCCGGAAAATCCTCCAGACTCCTGCCCATAAACACCCATGCTACTGGGGTGGTCCTGTCGGAATGAACTCTGCTGCCCGTAGCTGCTGCTCTGTTGGCTATATTGACTTGGAGCCTGGCTGTAGGATCCAGTTTGAGGGGGATAACTAGTGGGCGGCTGCTGCCCATAGCTGCTTTGTTGACCATAGCTACTCTGCTGTCCATAGCTGCTCGGCTGCCCATAGGTGTTCTGCTGAGAGTAACTGCTCTGGTCATAACTAGTCGGCTGTGTAGAGGAGTAGCTGGTAGGAGGATAAGATGGTGGTGCTGTGACTGGCTGCATGGGGTAGCTCCCAGGTACCTGGGGATAACTGTAGTTACTCTGTCCATATCCTAGGCTGGGCTGGTTGTAACCCCCTGTGCTAGATTGAGGTTGACTAGTCTCACCGGGTTTGTTACCATCCTGCGGTCTTGCAGGTGCGGTGGCTGCCGGCTGCTGCCCATAGGCTGGGTAAGCAGGCTGAGTGCCATAAGCAGACTGAGCTGCATAGAAGGCCTGGGTGGTCGTGACCGTAGCAGTGGTGGTATCGTAAGCACCAGTGCCGTACCCCTGGACAGGCTGACTGTACGCCTGGGGGGCAGTCGGAGTAGTATAACCAGCGGGAGGCTGTCCATAAGAAGTTGCATAGGTGGTCTGCCCATAGGTCACAGTGGTCTGAGCCTGGGTATAGCTGACATCAGTGGGCTGTCCATAGGTTCCGTAACTTTGCTGCCCATATGCCTGGGTGGTCTGTGCATATCCTTGAGTGGGTTGGGCGGTGTATGCACTGTAGCCCTGCTGGGCTGCCGCTTGGCTGTAGGTACTGTAATCCGTGGACGCCATTTTCTCTCCTTCCTTCTCGTTCTCTCCCCAATAAAACTTTATTTAAAACAACAGGAGGTGGGCCAGATTTGGCCCTCGGGCCGTAGCGTGCTGACTCCTGTACCAGGGCCTGATTTCATAAGCCTGCCTACAGCTCATCTGTCTTAAGGACTATAGCTGTGTTTGTCTTACTATTTATGATTCGGCCCAGGCTCTGTGAAGTTAGACGTGAGCTTAGAGAAGATGGAAAGCCGCAAGCCCAGAGGTTATGATCGCTGTGCTCTCGTAACTGGCTTTACTAATATCTTGGCCACCTTGTCGCAGTGTCCTCATCCGCAGACTCCACGTACTTCGAGTCTGGTTTTCTCTGAACCAGTTCCAGGACCTTGCTGGTTCCCTCATCCATGAGCAAAAGGAATCTTTGACACGTACATGTATTTGTAGGAGAGTCGTGTCTTTAAGGGAATGCAACAGGTGGGAGGAGTGCTGTATGTCAGGTGCGCAGAAGATGCCCCGACAGCGCAGAATTAGCAGCCCGGTGGGAGGAAGGCGGGGGCGCTGGGGCTGTGGTTCACGGAAGCTTCCCAGATGCTCTGCAGATTCCAGAGGAGCTCACCAGCTGCAAGGACAGGAGCAGGAGGGGGGGCGCGCTTTAGAGAGCGGGCAGAGCGATTGCGAGGTATGGGTGTTTGAGGCTGAGTGATGCCTCCAGGTAATGACAGGCTGGCTTTGCAGGGAGAAGTGGCAGGAAGAGCCAAATGGACCCATGCGGCACCTACCTGGGCTCACTGCTCGTTTGGCACTCATCCAAATCCAGGTTTTTAAAAAAGGAGACAGAGCACTCCCTGGGAAGGTAGGGAAGTGTGACCTTGGGGGTCCCCGCCCATTCGTCCTAGCCGGACAGCTGGAGGCTGCACTCAGCCAGCTACCACCTTCTCAGAAGGCACGTAGGGGCTGGCAGAGGTGAGCACGGCCACAGGGCCCTGGAGCTCCGGAAGGGGAGACGTCCCCGCTTAGAGGCCCTCCAGTGGACAGCGTTCTTCCCCGGGGAGGCTAAGTAGGAGCCGTCATCCTGCCGGCGCCCCACGTCCTGGCGGTGGAGCTGTGGGCCAGCATTCCGAGAGAACCACACTAGCCTGCGGCGGCCCGCGGCTACCCTAGCCTGCCTTTGCAATGCCCGTGGATGCTCCGCCGGAGACCCGGGAAGGAGGCCCTGCCCGCTCTCCACCCATCTTCGCAGGAACGTGGATGGAACGGGCTTGGAACCTGGTGCAGCTGACTGCTGCTGACCCCACCGAGGCCGCGTGCTGAGCCCTGTCAACCACGGTGGCTGCGTGGCCAGGGGCAGGCCGGGGTCAGGGCATCCGGGACAGCGGATGAATGCGCCCAGGCCAGCGAGGCAACCAGGCAGATGGAATGCAAACATGGCGGGTTCAAGGCCAGGCGCCTGCCGCCACCTGCCTTGCTTTCTTAGCCTGGGGCATTCCTCTGCACCAGGAGCTCAGACAAAGCCCCCACAGTTGGAGGGGTGGGGCTGGGGCACCAGGAGGGGCGGGGGAGGAGTGGCTTTGCAGAAGCAGAGGGAACTCCACAGTTGGGCCTGGGGATTTGGCCAAAAGTCGGCACTGAGCATGCATGTTTCCCCCACACGTGCAGACACGGAAGGACACGAATGCACCGCGGCAGCACGGGGCGCCACGGTGCCCGATGGCGGTGAGCAGGTGCCCGCGGCCAGCACCTGCCTCCGTCGCTCGGTGCCGTGGACACCCTGCTCGCCAGCGCCTTCCGTGGCGTGTCGGCCTGGGATCCATCCACTGGTAAATAAAAGGTCTTGAACTGATTGCCCTGAAACTGAAGTCATCTCTTCTTCCTTTTTTCTTTCTTCCTCCTTTCCTCCCCCCCGCCCAAACTTGCCTTCCAAGAAATAATACTGGCTCTCTGGTTCGGTCTCCCAGGGGTCCCTTTCACTGAGAGGAGCTCACCTGTCACCAGGGGCTCAGAAACCACCAAACCCTCCTGTGAGGCCCCAATCGAGGGGGCCTGATGCTCCGTACAATTCACCCAGATTGTTAGCATTTTGGCTTTAAGGCATTCATAAATCTTGTTAACATCTAGAACGGTGCTAACTGAGCAGAGCACGGTCCCAGGCCCGCTGCTGCTGGAGGCCCGGAAGGCGTCCGTGAGCCATGCAGAGCCGCGAGGGACCCTCCGAGTTGCTGTGCAGCTGCAGCTTCCTCTGGAGTGACAGCACCGGGGTCCCGACTCCCTCCAGTCCTGCGGGTCCTGTCAACTCTCCCGCCCTTCATCCCACAAGGTGCCTGCTGCGTGGGCCGGACACTGAGCTACATACAAGCAGGCCTCCCGCGGGGACGTTAGCATGCCCCCTGACGTCACATCCACGGGGGTACTCACCTCTGTTTGCCCAGCAGCGTTGCATGGACCCAGGCCGTAGTCTTCCCCTGCTGGTCCTCTTGCACTTCACGGGCACGGTGGAGGAGGCAGGTGGCCGCCGTGGGCCCTGGGGGCACATACTGCCGTCTGTGGCCATAGCTCGTCTAACCCGGGTTAGCCTAGACCCTCCCATTCTCCAAGACAAGGGTTCTGTGCCATCCCCGCATCTAGCCTCGATCTACGTCTGCTTTCTCCCTCTTTCATTCCTGTCTCTGAAGTGAGGGTCTGCAGGCTCCAGTGGGGGTCCCAGTGCTGAGGACCGGAGGAGGCTGGCCGCACTGGGTGCAGGGGTCCTGGAGGCTGTCCACCCTGCTCCCAGCTGTGGAAACTGCTTCGTCTTCTCCTGATTTCACTGCCCCCTTCAACTGTCTTGCTGCTTTGCTGACTCTGGGCTACTCGTTGATTCTGATCTCCGGGTCTTCACCAAATGTTTCTGGCCAGTCGTCCCACATTTTAACACTTTATTTATTTATTTGACGGAGAGAGAGAGCACAAGCAGGGGGAGAGGGAGTGGGAGAAGCAGACTCCCCGCTGATCAGGGATCCCGACGTGGGGCTTGACCTTGGGGCTCCAGGATCATGACCTGAGCCGAAGGCAGACGCTTAACCGACTGAGCCACCCAAGCGCCCCTTAACACTTTTTTTTAAGTGAGGTGAAATTCATATAACGTAAACTTAACCGTTCTAAAGTGCACAGCTCACAAGTTAGTGCGTCCACGATGTCGTGCAACCACCGCCTCCACCCGGTTCCCGAACATTTTCATCACCCCAGAAGGAAATGCCGTACCATTAAGCAGTGACACCCCTATCCCTCCTCCTTCAGCCCCTGGCACCCACCCATCTGTGTTCTGACTCTGTGGATTTACCTATTCTGTAAATTTTATAAAGTGGAATCGTTATAAACATGGCCTTTGGGGTCTGGCTTCTTTCACTTAGCGTCGTGTTTTCGAGGTTCGCCCACGTTGTAGGTTGTAGGTTCCTTTGTACAGCTGACTAGCGTTCCCCTGTGTGGACACACCGCGGTGTTCATCTGTGCGACCCCTGGCCGGCCTTCGTGTGGCCCTGCGCTTTGGCTGTTGTGAAGAGAGCTGCCGTGAAAACGTGCGCTCGCATGCTCACTAGAGGACCAGCTTCCGGGTCATTCCGGCATCCACCTGGGCATGGAATCGCTGGCCCATAGGCTCATTCTACATTTCACTTCTTGAGGAACTGCCAAACTGTTTCCATGTTTTCAACGTAGAGTATTTAGAGCCTCGAGTTTGCATTTAGCTTTCTGGAGGAGGTGGGCCACACAGCTCTGTGTCCGCTTGGCCCCCTTCACGCCCTCCTAGACCTTTCTCCAGTTTTCCAAGACTTCAAATTCTTGTGCTGTCCTCCAGCCACCTGACTACTTGCCTACCAGTCTCTTTGCAAGCTTAATGAGCACATTTCTGCACTGTCATCTGACACATTTATGAAGCATTAAGAGCAGAGGGCCCTCAGCTGACCCACCTCACCCCAGCTTGTTTGGCCTGAAACCCCCTCTGTGCTCCCAGCCTTCCCTCCACTGGGTCCCCCAGAGCCACACAGGCTGCACAAGGCCAAGTGTTCCTGGCACAGGGATGCGGAAACCTGCGTGGGAGAATTAGGGCTTTCCTGGCTGGCATGCGGTCGTGGTGTCTCCCCTCATGGCTCTCTTGACTTGGCCTGCTGGTCTGGCTCCCAGGGCAGTGGCCAGTCCTTCTCTGCGCAAGTCCTGTGCTGGTTCTTTGGTGTGTGTTTCGGACAGAAGTGGGCAGGGCGGGAACAGGGAGAGACTGAGTCCCCCCGGTCGGTGTGTGGTGGAAATGGCTCTGGACCCTAAGTGGGATCCTGGCCAAGTCTTCTCTCTGGGCTTCTCTTTGAGTCCTCACCTGTCAGCCAGGAGGAAGGACAGGATGGCATGGGGAGGTCCCTTCCCACAGTTGGCTAGCCCTGGGAGTTTTGTTCCCAGAGACTTCATCTTCCAGATCCTGACCTTGGCGGGAACAGCAGGAGCCATATCTCCAGGGCTTAGCTGACGGTGTGTGTGCAAGATCCAATTATCTGCCCATGTGGGAGACACGGCGTGGGTCTGCCCAGCCCAACACGCACCGGGCAGCCACATATCCTGTAAATGGCATCCTCCACACCACAGCTCATCCATCCCATCTGAGGATCGTCTTTCCCGCAGGTTGGAGCCATTGGTGATGAGGAGGAGTGGGTCAGCCTCTACGAGGAAGAGAATGAGCCCGATGCCCAGACGCTGGAGATCCCAAACCTCACGCCCTACACTCATTACAGGTGAGAGCAGCAGGTGATAAACCACCACAGGAGGAAGGCTAGCAACGCCAGCAAGTGGCTTCAGCCCACAAGAGCAAAACCCAGTTACATGCATGTGATTGAGACATTTCCAAGGGGCAATAACAGTACATTGAACCTTAGGAGCAAGATACGTGGCTGAGTATTATTCCCAGAGAGAGTTTATCCCCGATGCTGGATTAGCAATGCTCCTGCCATCAACACCAGCGGCAATTGCTCACTCTTACATTAGGCTCAATACCAAGAGCCACGGGCAGCTGAGATGTGCGGCCTTTCCTCACAAACTCCACGACCACTTGGGACTATCAACATGCTGTGTGTAAACAGAGCAGCCATCCTGGGACCGTCCTCTGCTTCCCCCTTCCAGTACCCAGGAATTGTGGGGCTCACTAATCAAGCACTTAACATGCCATGTAACCTTTCGCTTCTTGATCCTGAAACCTATCCAGGCAGTAAATCCTTGGCCTTAGGAAAGGCTAGCATGATCAGAAGCCGTTAGAGATGTTATAACTTCCCGTAAGATCATTGACCAAGATGAAATTTCCAGGTATCGCCAGATGTTGAGTTTGATAATGTCATTGTTCATAAGATTGGGGAGTAAAAGACTAAGAATGACTAATTCAGAGAGTAAAAGGTGACCTTACATCTTCATGAAGAACATTTTTTTTCGGTATAATACTGACGTTAGAGCCTTTTAAAACAAAGCCTAATGAGAGCTGCAGTTCAGACATCCTCCCTGAGATCAGAGCAGATGAATCGAGACACCATACACTCATTTGCAGAGAAAAATATTTCTCAAAAAAAAAAAAAAAAACGAGCTGCAGGGCCTCCAGGCTTACCCTGTGAAGCTGGTAGCAGCTGTCTCATTGCGTCCAAGGTCAGAAACTGTGACTAGAGACCCCCGTCCTCTTCCAGCCTCTGTGGTGAATATGCGTGTGTGCTCAGGGCATGTTTCCTGGGTGGAAGTTCACTCCAAGTAATTGTACAAATAAAGGAGAGAGAACTGAAAACATTAACCGAGTCTCTAGAGCACGCCCACCCCACCCTCATTTTATAGGTAAGGAAATGGGGGCAAGTCTGATTTGCCTCAGGTCTCAGTTACCAATGGGGTCAGAGTCCCAGGGTGTGGGTTCTGGGGCCAGTGCTCCTCCCCTGAGCCAACAGAGAATAGGGTGCAGACACCCATGCTCATTGAAACAACCAGACTCTTCAAGGTCATTTGGCACCTCAACTGCTAATCCCCCCGACCTTACCCTAAACACGAATCAGCCAATGGCATCAGATGACACGGATTTCTGGCCATGTAACCCATTCCATTATGCTTTGCTTGGGATTTTAAAATCTTTGCGTTGGAACAAATTTACCATTCTTTGGAGGTTTTGGGGGAAAGGGCCAAATATGCAATTTGCATTTTTCATGAAACCAGGTGGAAAGAGGGCGTCCTTGGGCAACAGCCTTTACAACACAGATGGACACATAGCGGAACCTTCTGAGAAGGTGGTGGGGTTTTGTTCTTTCCTGTAGAATAACTGTGTCCACGGTTTTACCTCTAGATTTCGCATGAGGCAGGTGAACATTGTCGGTACCAGCCCCTTCAGCCAGTCATCCCGGGTCATCCAGACCCTGCAGGCCCCCCCTGATGTGGCTCCCACCAGCATCACCGTGCGAACGGCCAGTGAGACCAGCCTGCGGCTCCGCTGGGTGGTGAGTTGGGGGCCGGAAGTGGGCTGCAGGGACAGTCGCCTTGACTATCCAGGTCTGCATGTGAAGCCAGAGCTTAGTGATGTCTTAGTCATGGCTTTGTCCTAGTCCAAGCTAATCTCTCTGTTAAACTAGAAAGTATTGCATTTTACAGTTGGTGTTGGGTCACAGACCAGCCCAGGTGACCCTGTTAATGAGCAGCATTACTCACTGGCTTCTTGGAACAGAGGAATATTCTTTGGGGGAGGGAAGCCAGTGTGCCACAGGGTGGACCTGTAAGTCCTTAAGCTGGGTCAACACGGAGCCAGCACTCAATGTTTGTAGGAGAGCCAGCTTGATATTTATTCAGAACATTTCCCCCACAAAATTAAGCCAAAATGTATTAAAAGAAATTATGTTTAGCCCAAGTTACTGACATGATTTCATTTAATTAACAGAGGAAAAGTTCCAGGGAACCACGTGGTAAAGGTTCTAAGACTATTCCTCCTGGAAAATATTTTCCATGGACTTGGTCTGCTAAGACAGGCTGATGCTTTGGGACCTTGACAGGTGGCAGTTCTGAGATGCAGGCTCACCACACGTGTCTTTGCTTCCAGCCGCTGCCTGATTCCCAGTACAACGGGAACCCCGAGTCGGTGGGCTACAGGATTAAGTACTGGCGCCCCGACCTCCAGGCCCAGGCACTGGCACAAGTCATCAACGACCGGCTGGAGAGGGAGTTCACCATCGAGGGGCTGGAGGAGTGGACAGAGTACGAGCTCCAGATGCAGGCATTCAACGCCATCGGGGCTGGGCCCTGGAGCGAGGCAGTGCGGGGCCGCACACGGGAGTCAGGTGAGGTGGAGGCTCAGCCCCAACCTGGGTCTCCCTGGAGATGGGGCTCCGTGTCCCCCAGTCCCCACGTCGCAGCTCATTGGCTCTGTCCCCGCTGTGTCTATGCCGACACTTTCCTAACCCAGTAATTAGGTCAACCTTGACGGTAATTTCAGGAAAACATCATTAGAGTCCATGCCACTAATTTGAAATTAATCGTGGGTCTTACCAGGGGCTGGACTCGTGGTACTATCTTTTAAATTAGATATAATTTCACAATCAGTGATAATAAGCAAGGGTGTATAGAGATTCTAAGGGAGATCTTTATAACACAAGGCACTCAGGACCTCCTCTTGACAAAGTAGTGTGTGGGACGGGTTAAGATCATCTCCCCTGAACTAACAAATATCCCCTCAAAGGTTCGATTGCTTTGACACAGTAGAGCTTCATTTCTCATTCATCACCGAGTAGGATGGGTGTCCTGTTCAGCGGGTGGCTCTCTTCCTCTTGATTCAAGGACCCAGGCTCTGCTGTGCTATAGGCCCAATCTGTCTGTGCCCAGCTACCCAAGGAAGAAGAAAGAACAGAGAGTGGGCACCCCTGCTCCCTAACACTGTCCAGAAATGACACACATCCATCCACGCAGAGCCACCAGGCTCGGGGTTACTGCTGGTGGCCAGGGAGGAAAGGAAAAGTACTAAATACTTTGGGTCAGTACTCGGTAGCCTGGGCTGCAGTCTGGTAAGGACCAGTGTGTTCCCCTGATCTGCTGGGCATTGCGGGCTGACCTGTGGTTTGGGGGACCCCTGCTAGCCTGGTTTGAGTTTGTGGAGTGACAAAGAGGGCTCCTGTCACGTTTAAAGATGCAATGGGACACAGACCAGTTCTTTCCACCTGGTCTGAAATGGTGAGGTTGTCTCCTGAAGAGAAGGAAGCGTACCGCTCCCCTTCCAAGAGGACCAATACTTGAAGAGAGGTTTCCCAGAGTAGCTGGGGCTGCCTCAGATGCCTTCCTGGCTTTCTTTCAAGCTGTAAATTTTATGTATGGTGATTAACATAACAAAATAAAATTTAAAAAAAGAAATAAAAGATTGAGACACTACATTCAGCTTGTGGCTGTGCGATCACATGGATTTTTAAAAAGCTCTATTCAGTCTCTGAGTCTTTGTGACAAAGAGGACTGGAAACATTCTAAGAGGACCATTCTAACCCCAGTAATAGGCAGAGCGAGAAAATATTTTTTAAAACAACTTTGCTGTAACTAACTAGAAAATTATGGACAAAATATCATTTTTTGAGATTTAGAATTTATTAATGTCCTCATAAGAAAAACAGAGAAAATCCCCAGATGTCAGATGCACACAGGGACTGAAACAATAGTGCTGAGCTGGTGCTGAGGCTGCCCTGGGGGGTTGGCATGGGATGGGGGTGTGGGCATCCATCCTGGGAGCTTCAGGACTCACGACATGGTGCCCATCCAGGAACAGAAGGTTCAGCCACGAGTCTGCGCAAGGCGGGGAGTTCGAATCAAGGCCTTTGCACACACAGACAAGGCTCCTGAATGCTGTACCCTCGTTGAAAAGGGAGACTGGAAATCTCTGCCCAGGGAAGTTTGTCTGTGTCCATCTGTCTACCCGGACTCTGAATAGGGAAAAAAAATGTAACTCTAAGTCCTGTGCCCAGCTCAGGTTTGGGTTCTGAATTTACTCTGTCTGGTCCAGAAACTCCTAGAAAAGAAATTAATGTAAAACTTGGTTTCAGACACCAAAGTATAAGCAACAAAAGAAAAATTTAGACTTCATTAACATGAAAACCTTTGTGCTTCAAAGAATACCATAAAGTAAAACAAACAAACAAACAAAACAATAACAATGAAAAGCAGTCCCCCAATCATAGAAGGTATTTGCAAATTATCTGATAAGGGACCCATATCCAGGATGTATATAAAAGAAAAACTCTTACAACTCCACAGTAAAAAGACAACCCAGTTAAAAACTGGACAAAGGATCTGAACAGACATTGCTCCAAAGAAGACATACAAATGGTCGTTAAGCACATGAAAGGGTGCTCAACATTATTCACTGCCAGGGAAATGAAAACACCACAATGAGATACTAGTTCACACCCCTAAGGTGGGTAAAATAAAATTGAAGAACAAGTTGGACAATAACAGGTGTTAAGTGATATTAAAATAAGTATGGTTCAGATACTGTACACTTTGTATAACATTGGAAGACCATGAAGAGCATCCTCACTGACCAGAAAGTCTTCTTACCCCAGGGGAAATAGTGATCCACTCCTCCTGAAAGATTACGTATTATACCCCAATAAATGATTTCACTGTCCTCTAAAAACAACAAAATTTTTTTAAAAGACAAAAAAAAAGAAAAAAGAAAGAAACATGGTTCTAGGCCAGACTTTCTGGGGAACAAAGAAGAAAACATCACTGGAGAGATATTGCCACAGCCAACTTGTCCCAAATAAAAATCAGCTTTTAAAAGATGAACTCACAACTTTCAAACACACAAGGAAATACTCTGCCATGAGTAAAAATAAGATCTTCTTCAGGTAGGTAGGTAGGAAGGAAGGAAGGAAAGAAGGAAGGAATGGAGGGAGAAAGGAAGGGAGGAAATTGGGCTCCGATTGCTTTAAAATACATACTAGTATGAAAGAGAATATGTGATAAGTATATTAAAAATTATTAAAGACTTCCAGTTATAAAATGATAACTTCTGAGTAATCTTATGTATAGCATAGTTATTATAGTTAATAATACTGTATTATATGCTTGAAAGTTGCTAAGAGAGTAGATCTTAAATGTTCTCACTACAAGAAAGGAACAATAACTTTGTGACTGATGGAGGTGTTAGCTAATGTTATGGTGGTAGCCTCTTTGCAGTACATACGTGCCTCAAATCAACATGTTGTACACGTTAATCTTATACAATGTGGTGTATCAATTATATTCTGATAAGAGCTGGAATAAATATAAAATAAGACTGTAGTCTTAAATTATGAAAAGAACACATTAAAACTTTAGGTAAAGATTCAGATGCCACTTTGAAAGCACTTTTTAAGAAAAACAAATAGGACACAGCCACTGAAAATAAAACACTACCATTAGGTGAAAAGTAGTTTAGACACAGCTAAAGAGAGACTTCCTAAACCGGAAGCTAGATATGAGTAAATAACTTAAAATACAGCACAAAGACACAGAGATTGAAAACACGGTAGAGAGGTTAAAAGACATAAAGAATAGAATGAGAAGGTCCAGCATGTATCTAATAAAAACTCAGAGGGGAAGGAGGGAGTAGATGAGAACAAGAAAATATGGAGAGATAATAGCCTTGAAGCTTCAGAATTGATACTTTATCAGACTGAAGAAAAGTGAATCCTATGCAGAATAAATAAAATAAATCCACACCAAAATGCATTATGCTGCAACTGTAGAGCCTGAAAGCCAAAGAGAAAATCTTAAAAACACTTGGAGGGAAGGCATCTTACCTACAGAAGGCAAGACGATTTGAAGCCGGCTTCCCAAGAACAGTGGAGGCTAGAAGACACTGGAACAATGGAATCATAATGGAATGAGAATAATGTTGAAGGAGCTGAGAGGCAATAACTGTTAACCTCAAGTGCTACACTCAGTTAAATTGCTTTTCAAGGATTTTGTTCAGAAAACTGTAAGCTAAATGACATGTAAGGATGAATAAAATGTAATAAAAATGGAAAATAATACTGTTTTGTTAGGTTTCCGAAGAATGCTCTCAAAAGACAAGGTAAAGCCATGGCAAAATTGCTGAGGTGAGACTATATTTTTGTAAAACTCTGTCAGCTGCTGCAAGCTCCCTTTGCAGTGGTCAGGAGAATGCTGAGGAGACCACTCTGTGCGTCAACTCACCCAGATGCTTTCTTCTAGCTCTGTTCCCTTCAGACAATCTTGTGTCCCCTCCTACCCGATAACTCTGAGGAGACTCTCTTGAACAATACTGTTTGTTTTTGTAGGCATTTCTGTTTTAGTTAATATTGAGGTGCGGCTTTGGTATCAAAAAAAAAAGGCATAATGGGTTTGTTTTCATCTTGGTTGACAAAATGAACACAAACATAGGTACGCACGACTACAGGAGAATCATAGGCAGCCCCCGGAACTAACTGCATCGATTCCAGGATTGCCTCATTCATCGTTGGCCTGTTGAGAAGATTTGTGGTCTAGAAATTTTTCTTGCAATATAAGTTCTCCTTTATGCTCTCACATCCTTTCTTATTTTGAGGGTTCTGGCTTATAGAAAATTATTTTTTAGTTTTTAATGGGATGTTTGTTCAATTAGAAAAGATTTGGTTCCACAGGTGTTTTCATCACAATTGAATAATAGGGTTATTGATCTTCATTTCAAGATGAGATGACTTAGACTTCAGACATTTTTTTAATATTCTTTTTTTTTTAAGATTT